TAGAGTGATATNTACACAGTATATAGTAGAGAGAGAGAGAGACTCTTGCAATTTCAATTCACCTTTTCTGCATCTAATTATAATGTTTCGGTCTCAATTTTTTGGCCTGAAGAACAAATAGAGAAAGTTACACAAGTCTATATGCTTGCCTTTTGTGATGACCACATGGTGATGCTTTTATCACGGTCATTTGGGTCACACCATATTTTCCCTTGAGAAAATACAATTATAGCATTAGGAAATAGGGGGTTTCCAATCATCTAATTTACTAACTGGTTACTTTTGAAAGATTATTTCATTTAGTTAACTATTTTGTTAAAAAAATACCAAAAATACTTAGATCTGGATCTGGAATTCTGTACAAGCTAGGTATTTAGGTAATTTGTCCCCTCTTAAGTAGCGCAAGCTAATTTGTACTAATCTCCATACCCTTGAACATTTTTTTCATATTAAGTCCATTGTTCTGAATTTGGAACTCAGAACAAATATGGGCGCCCAGCCCAAATGAATGCCCTTGCATTGAGTTCTAAAACCAAGGACATGTTTTTGATATTAAAATCTATTGTTCTCAGTTTAGAACTCAAAAAAAAAAAGAAGGGATATTTAAACTTCCTGTTTGCTGTCTGTTACAAATCTGGGTTTATATGTTTCAGATTAGAAGTATGTGGTTTTTCCATTAAAATCTCTTGTTCTAAGCTTGGAGCTTAGTATATTCGGTCCCACTTATGTCATAAGACAAATTACAAAGTATTTTTACTCGTTCGTGATTCCAAACATTGGATATATATGATCTTGTCAGGAGCTTTTCAATACATTCTATCCAACAAAAAGCCCTTCTCTATCAGTGAAGAAAGCTCAAAAGCTTTTCAATTCCCAAAATGCCCTCCCTGCAACTCTCTCATCCCTCCAACTTCTGAAACCCTAATTTTTCCTTCACAAAACTAGGGTTTTCAAAATCCCAAGCCCTCAATTCTGTTCTAGGGCTCGGGACCACCTCTAGAAACTGTAACTTTCGGAGAATTTGTTGCAATAGGAGTAAAGGAGCAGAAGATGCAGAGGCCAAACCAGTCATCGAAAAGGGCAGGGGAGGTGGAGATAATGGTGATGATGGAGGTTTTAATGGGGGGAATGGGGATGAATCTAAGGAAAAGGGGAAGTTACAGTTACCTGAATGGATGAATTTGACCTCTGAAGATGCAAAAATAGTGATAGCTGTGCTTGCTGTATCTTTGGCTTTTAGGTCCTTCATTGCAGAGCCTCAATATATTCCTTTTTTGTCTTGTACCCTACTTTTGATGTCGGTGATCGAATTGTTGCAGAAAAGGTACCCTACCTTTGATGTTGGTGACCAACTCAACCTTTCCCATACCTTGAAGCTAGAGGAAACCTATTGGTTCCAGAGATCCAGAATCAAATGGCTCAAAGAAGGGGGATAGAAACATTGTTTTCTTCCACAAAACAACCAGCTCTAGGCATAGGGGTAATGCCATTACCCATGTGTTTGTAGGCATCCACTCTTTCTACCAACCCGATCTAATAAATTGTATATTCATCAGATACTTCAAAAACCTTTTCTTCAAGCCCCATCGCCCCTCATCTTACGTGGGCAGCCTTTCCTTTCAATCCCTCTCACTGGGCGAATCGGCCTGGCTCAAAAGACTTTTCATCATTGAGGAGATCTGAAAGGCCATCTTCGACTTGCCTAAAGATAAGGCCCCCGGGCTTGACGGCTTCCTCACTGCCATCTTCCAGCATTTCTCGGATACTATTGCCCCTGACCTCCTTTCTTTCTTTGACGAATTCTTCCATAGAGGTCGGCTTAACTCAGCCTTAAACTGCACCTTCCTAGCCATGGTCCCCAAAATCGAAGGAGCTTTTAAGGTGAGAGACTTTATACCCATTAGTCTCCTGACTCTCCTCAATTCCTCTTACAGGATTCTCGCTAAGGTCTTGGCCTCCAGCCTACAGGAGGATCTTAGCTCAGTCATTTCCCCAACCCAATCCGCTTTTGTTGCTCATAGAAAAATTCTTGATGGGGCCCTCATGGCCCATGAAGCCATCGACTCTAGATCTTTATCAGACCATAAGGGTCTTAAAATTAAACTTGACCGGGAGAAGGAGTATGAGAGAGTCGATTAGGACCTCCTTGACCTTATCCAAACTCGTATGGGCTTTGGCTCTAGATGGAGAAAGTGGATTAAAGCCTCTATCTCCAACCCTCTTATTTCGATCCTCCTCAATGGTACCCCGATGGGTTTCTTCCCTGCTGCCAGAGGACTATAGCAAGGGGACCCTCTTTCGCTCTTTATTTTTACTTTCATTGGAGAGCTTTTCTCCAGATGTTTGAGAGAGGTCTTCTTACAGGTTTTAGGACCTCACCCACTGGCCCTGTTATCTCTCACCTCCTTTACGCGGATGATACCCTCATATTTTGCAAGATCCACCACCCTAACTAAATTGATTGCCTTTGGCATTTCCTTAGAACTGTTGAACTCGTAATGGGGATGAAAGTCAACATGTCTAAGACCAAAATGTTGCGTATTTTGGTAGAAGGTGCTGAATTAGAGTTACTTGCTCCACATTTGGGTTGTGC